TGGTTCGCACCCTGTCGTTACGTCACGCAAGGGGAACGGGAAAACCCCCACGCGTCACGTGGGCGCGGGGGCGGGGCCGGCCGGGAAGAGGAGGCTGGGCGCTCGGGAGGGGCCAGCGCTGCTGGCCATTGCACGGGCGGAGACAACTGAGGCCTACTTAGGGCCACTCGCGCTCTATCCGTGGAGGAAGTCGGGAAACTGAAGGTCATCCCCCCAGGTCTACCAGCGGGATTTGAACCTGTTGTTTCTCTGGCTGAAAGAGAAGCTTCGGGATCAGGAGGTTGCCAGGGCTGTACAGCTGTCATCGATAATAATGATCTTTAGGAAACCTCCGTGGTCTGTCTACGCCTCATTTTCATCAACTATAAATTGGGAGTGAAGATACTTAAATGTTTAAAGCTAGAATGTCAGCTCTAGGATTTGTCTGTTTTGTTCCTTGCTGTATCCCCTGCTCCTGGAACACAGTAGGTGCCCAGCAAGTGTTTATTGAATGAATGGACGGATGTTTTATTCCTCGCCACAGCCCTTTCACGTTTCCTAATAGCCCAGAGCACTGGTAGCTCCAAGGCTCAGTAACTCATTCTGAGCATGGTAACTGTTAGCCCCAGTGTACATAACAGAGCTGTGTGCCTGACCAGAGCAAAGGGCTTACTTGGAGGCCTCGCAGATACCTCAAACCTTGCACTCACGTCAGAGGCATGTGATGGAATTAGGATTCTTGCAGAGAGGAGGAGACTGAAGTTCAAGGAGGGGCAGCCATTTGATTAAATCACATTCCTAAAGCCTCCCTTGTCCTTGAGAATCACTGAGTGACCATTATGTTCCAACTTGGATGCCAGGCACCTTCAGACCACAGAGTGCTTTGTCTGCTTGTGTAAAATTTGAGTGTTTCTCTTCTCTCCATAGCCCCCAGGGACTCATCGATTCATTGGACGTATATTTATTGAGCACCTGCTGTGTGCCAGAGCCTGCACTGGGCCATAGCACGTGCCAGGCCAGGCCTGGTACCTGCGGCTGGTAGGCAGAGTAGTGTAGAGCAGCAGTTCTCAAAGCGTGGTCCTCAACCCTTCAGGCGATTCGGATGTAAGCTCAAGCCGAAAAGCTGCTGCCAGACAGCAAAATATAGAGCAAACTTTTAAAAAACTGCAAAGGGCCAAGTAGCAAATATGTTACGCTTCAGGCTTTGAGCATCAGACAAGCTCAACTCTGTGATAGCACAAAAGCAGCCAACAGAACAGAAACAATGAGCGTGGCTGTGTTCCAATAAAACATTATGGATATAGAAATTTGAATTTCATATAATTTTCATGTGAAACAATATATTCTTGAGATTTTTTAACCACTTAAAAGATGTAAAAAATTACACAAAAGCTGGGATATGCTGGGTTTGGCTGCAAGCTGTAGTCTGCATGTGACAAGAGCCTTGCGAGCGAGGTTATGACTGAGGGTCCAGAATCAGAGTGCCTGGGTTCAAATCCTAGGTCTCCCACTTACGTGCTGTGTGACCTTGAGCAATTAACTTCATCACTCTGAGCCTGAACTGTAAAATGGGTCTAATAACAGGGTGATTGTGAGGATTATATGATACTAATATTAGTTGGCACTTGTATATAGTTCTTACATGTGCTGGGCACTGTTCTAAGCACTTTGTGTTCTAAATACTGTGTCCCATTACTTGGGCAAACTATTTCTCATCTGCTCTTGCGAACATTTCACTTACAGAGTTATTACACGCAGTGTAATGGTGCCAGGCACTGTTCCAAAAGCTGCGGGCACAGCAAGGGACATAACAGAGCAAAGCCCCTGCTATCATGGCACCAAAATCCAGGTCGGGGAGATAGAAACAGATAAGTAAATACATGTCTGGTATTACAGAAGAATAAAGCAGGACATGTGGATGGAGTTCAGAGGGTACTATTTGGGTTAGGAACTTGAAGGAGGGTCTAGAATGACATTTAAGCAGAGACCTGAAACAGTGAACGATCCATGTGAATATCTAAGGACAAACATTCAAGGCACAGGGAACAGCAAGTGCAAAGGCCCTGAGGTGGGAACATGCATGGCATATGCAAGGAACAGCAAGGAACTAGAGTGAAGAGACTGCTGGGGAAGCATTGGAGATGGGGGTAGAGCAATGGCTTGTAAGGTGATACGAACATTAATATTAAATTTAATGGATGAAGCAAACCACATACAGCACTTTGACTAGAACTTGGGTCATGATAAGGAGCGTGAAGTAGTGGCAACTATTACAGAACCGGGAGCCCACCCGATTACCCTCTGCCCCGGCAAAGGTCAGGTCTCACAACTCTTTGTTAGGTGAGTTAAAGGACATGTCAGAAACCCTCAGGGTGCAGGACTTCTGCTGGGCTGAGTTCCATGAGGGCGGACCTGGGGCTGACTTGGTCCGGGCTGTGTACACAGGACCCCCCAGCTCAGGGCAACGTCCAAGGGAGGGGCTCAGGGAGCATCTGTTGACTGACTGCATGTCTGCCTCGGCACGAGTGTCAATGTGGGCCCCAGCAGGATCCACACTCCTGCATGTGTGCGTGCCCGTGAAAGTCAGGACTGTCAATGCGCACTCAGCAAACATTCCCGGAAAGCCTCCTCTGTGCCCAGGACACAGCAGTGATCAAGACGGCCTAGCTCTGTCCTCACAGGCTCAGTCCAGCAGAGAATGACCTGTCCACAGTGATGACCCATAGTGGACAGGGCTTAGATGTAGGAGCCCAGGGAGATGGAGAGGCTCAGAGAGGGTGGTCAGGGAGGGCTTCCTGGAGGAGACATTGGAACTACAACCTGGATAATGCGTGGGGTAAGGTAAAAAGCTGTGTGCCTTACCTACGTCCCCTAGTAAGAGCATAATCTAGAGCCAGGAGCTAAGAGATCACGGCAAGTTAAAGCAAGGGAGAGGAGGGTATAGGGGTCGAGGTCCCCTCCCCTCAAGATCTCGCTCACTACAGTTCTCTCGAGAGTACTAGGGAGCCATGGTAGGTTCTGAGCAGGGGACGGGCATGGCCAGGTTTGTGCTTTAGAAAATTCTGGCTGCCAGGTGAAGAGTGAATGGGAGGGGCTGGACTGGGGCAAGATACTAGGGAGGAGGCTGGGTGGGGACTCCAGGGGGTGAGGAGCCTGGCCCAGGCTGTCTCTGGGGAAGTGAAGAGATGAGAGTCCCGAGCGACTGTGAGGTGCAGCTTAAGGACTTTGCCGAAGGCTGGGGTGTGCGGCTGTGAGAGGAGCCGGGGAGATGGACCCGTGAGTTGAGGTGGCCTGAGGGCCCAGGCCCCAGAGGAGCCCTGCTGGGGAGCCTGGGCTTTTTCCTAGGGCGCTGAGGGCCATGGCAGGGTGCAGGGCAGGGGAGGGAGTGGAGCGAGCTGAGGTCCCCAGTAGCAGAGCCCGCAGTAGTGCGTGTGTGTGTGTGTACACGTGGGGCTCTGCCCGCACCGTCTCCCAGGACCCTGTAGGTTCCCTAACTCTTCAGGGCAGAGTGGCAGGTAGGGCCTGAGAGGACTTGCCGTGGTCCTCAGCCCCGGGCCTCCTCTCCCTGCAGTGTTGATAAGACCAGCCCCTGCCCCCAAATAAATCTGGGAATGTGGGTTCCAACCCATGGGAGTGCAGGGAGTGCAGGCCTGTCTCCTCACCTATAAGGTAAGGGAACAGCCCCAGCTTCCAGTTTTGGGAAGGCACATGAGCCACACACTCAGAGCTTGGCTGGATCCTCAGCACTGGTGGCCCTGGGGGTGCCGGTGACACCCCAACAGCTCTGAGCGCTACAGCCCGGCACCACTCTGATCAAAGATGCACCCCATACTCTGCTGACGTGACCCTGGGAGGTGAGCTCAGAAGTCTTGAGAAAGGTCACGTCTCCAGGGTCCCTGGAGGGAAATGTACCAGGTGGTGGGTGTCTGCTCCTGGGGCAGGCCTGCACTCCCGCCCTGCCTGCTGGCATGAGGCCCAGAGACAATCGGTGGGCACAGGCAAGGCACCGAGTCTCAGCCAGCCACACCCAGCCTCCTGGGTAAGGGCATAGGTGCAGCGAGGTCACAGCAAGCAGCTTCCCCAGAGGGCTGCTGGGAAGGGGAGAAGGGTAAAAAAGGGGCCTGGCCCAGAGGGTCACTGTCCCCACTTTACCACGTCCTGCATCCTGCAGGTCTCTCTCCCAGACCCGGGAGAGCCACCCAGACCTGCTCTCCAAGGTGATGGAGGAAGGAAGGCCGGAGGAGAGTTACTGAGTTTAAGTTAAACACCCACATGAATTTATTAAATCCAGACTGTGTTAAAGGGCGGCGGTCTGAGAGGACGGGGTGGTCGGGGGACGAGGGACAAGATGATGGATGGCCATGAGCATCCCAAAGGGGCCCTGGCCCCTCCCCCGCCTGGCCCACCCCCTCGGCAGCGCCGCCTCGGCTTCACCATGATTCCCAATGGTGCTGGGCTGGCGGGGCGAGATGGCTGGAAGAAACACAGGAACAGACGGACAGATGGCGCCTCCACAAACCACGTGCTCTGGCCTGCCCCGGCCCCTACACCACACATGGGGCCCTGGTCCAAGGGGGCCCCCAGCCGCCCCGGCCCGATCTGTCCAGGGAAAGGGCGACAGGGAGGAGAAGTAAAGGGCCCGGGGCGGCAGGGCGCTGGTCACCAGGGGCCAGAGCGGACGAGGACCAGGAACGGTTAATCCCTTTTCTTGTCCTGTGCTGGCTTTGGAGGGTCTTCCTGGGGCTCGGTGGCAGCAGAGCTGGCCCCCTGGGTGGGCTTGGCAGGCGGGGGCGTGGAGGCCTCCTCCCTGGCAGCGGCGGTGGTGGCTGTGGCAGGGGCCGGGGTGGGTGGGGGTGGGAGGGCCTCT